GCGTCTTATATATATATACCAGACTAATATATATCTAGTAAATGCTAGGACATTCACGAAGGAACAGGATATTTCTAGAAAATAAGTGGCGTGACACTAGTCACGTGACCTCGCTGACGCAACAATAGCATTATTACAAAGTGTCTCTTGTCATTTTTATTATGCATTTAATCTATATTAAAAGGTTGTGTCGTCTGTATTTCAGTGTAAGTGTTTCTTTACAGGAGTGAGAGAAAATTATGCTGATTTCTTGACTACGCCAATAAAATTAATTGGTTTTAAGCTTTATAATTTGGTAAAGCTGGAGCAGCCTGAAAGTAAAAGGAGAAGATAAAATGTAGTATATCACGAAAGCTTTCATAATTGTCATCTATTTAGATGCATGTGCAGGTTTCTCACAACAAGATGGTGAAGCAAGTCATTAAGTTCCTTTCCCTCTAGCTACCTATTGATCTGTGTTATTCACCAGGGGTAACACTGACTGCCTATGTGAAAAATAGCTGCAAAGTTGTGAAAGTAGGCAGAAATCTTCTCAGGTGATATCTCGTGGTTACAACCTTCCTTATCTTTTAATGGGAGTGACTAGTCACGTGAGTAGTGTTATTCTCCCTGGGAAAGTTTGATGTTATAGTTTTGAGTAAATAACATGATATTTTCTCAGAGTGGAATAACTTAAACCAGATTTATAGAGAACAAAGTCTAGAACAAACTTACAAAGAATAGACAATACAGAAACCTCTCTCTCCATCAAATGAAACTGTTGTTTTGTGGTGTTGAGTAAAAATTGTTTTGACCATATATTAACGTTTGTGTGTAGGCTCTCTTTCTTTGTACAAACTCGGTTAGTTCCCGGGAGATTCACATTATTTCCTGATCAAATCTTCCAATATATATCTTATTCTTGATGAAAAAACGGTTTCTCCTGATATACCACATATATATCTCATTATTAGGTAAGTGGTGAAAGCTGATGGGTGAAAATTAAAGGTATTTAATAACTCAACTAACTAAACGAGACTGTGTTTTTCTTTTTTGTGTGAATAGTGTAATGACAACATTTTTTTACCATCAAAGTCTTCTAGAAAACTATCATATGAGGTCGCTATTGCAACAAGAACTCCAAATAAGGGAAACAGCATAATGAATAATATGAATAAACTCTGGTTCTAATAGGGGTAAATATATCAAATTACATTATATGTCATCTTTAAAAATTATATTTGTTTTATAATATGAATAATTTCTGGTTCTAATAGGGGTAAATATATCAAATTACATTATATGTCATCTGTAAAAATTATATTTGTTTTATAACATAAATAATTTCTGGTTCTAATAGGGTAAATATATCAAATTACATTATATGTCACCTTTAAAATTTATATTTGTTTTATATTTCCTCCGATTTTATTCGCAGGACTGGTTGTGTAAAACAATATTATCCCTCAAAATGTACGCCGCCATGGCGAGTATAAACTGGATGTTTGTAGAAGGTCTGCTTCTGCACAGCCGGATCACCATCTCTGTGTTCGACAAAGATGCTCCTTTCAAACTCTACTATTTGATAGGCTGGGGTAAGTGTTTCTACGGATAGTTTGATAGGCTGGGGTAAGTGTTTCTACGGATAGTTTGATAGGCTCGGGTAAGTGTTTCTACGAATAGTTTGACAGGCTGGGGTGAGG